TTCTCCATGCACATGTCCAGGAAGAGTCGTTACCATATGTTTAACTTCTCCATTTCAGCAAAGTTTCTGATTGGAGCTGTCTTGAGTTTTAAGCTAGCAAGACTTTTTGACTCCTTTTCTGTCTTGGCTATTTACCATATCCCTAATAATGCTCACTGGTGCTGTACCTCTTTATGAATCTCATAAACAAGCTTTTCCAGCAAGAAAGGAGAAATGATGCCTTTACTTATTTTGTCCTGTGGGTTACAGCCAGTCTTCACTGAGCAGACCATAACTATACAATGGTGTGCCCATAGTAGATGCACTTGCTGGTATAACTGCCTCTTTTTGGCACATTATTGCTTGGCTTTGATTTCATATTCAACAGTCTTTATTCTCGTGATTCGTATCTGAGATATCTGGGACTTTAAAAAGAAAAAGAAAACACCAAACTTGTAAATAGCATCTTGTTGCACCATTCTGGCCTCTACAGTCATTTCACCAAGGCCCATGGTTATTTAAATGTTCTCTGAAATTAGCATCACCTTGAATACCTAAGAGCCAACAGTAATTTTTCAGGCTAATTTGTTATTTCTATTTACACATATATACAGATGTATTGGATTTCTTAGAGAGGTTATTTGGTTTTGGCAAGTGAGTAGATTAGCTGGTGAGTGTTCACAGTTAAAAGTAGTTGTTATGACCTCTGGTTACTTGTGAGACAGAATTATTCCACCTTCATCCACTTCATTTATGTCCTTGGTCATTTTAAATCAAGTTTATTTGATTTCTGAAGCCAAGGAGAATCTTTTTTTTCCCCAAGACTAGGACAAAATTCATGGAAATCTGTTTCAATATTTACAAGACTATTTTTTTCTCTTTTGCAAAATGTCTAAAATTTTGTAGACATCCTTAAGCCCACACATCTGCACAGATGACATTTATAATTACTCAGCCAGTTGCAAAATTTCATTAAGGAGGATGGACGGGAGATTCAACATATCACTTGTTATTTGCCAAGTGGCAGCAGCTGACCAACATTTGGAGAGAGTCAACCAAAAAGGCCTGCACAGGAAACATTGCTAACCGAAAACAACTGCTCAGATATGAATATAAAGTAGTAAATACTGAAGCAAATGTGGACAAGACTTCTGATTTACAAAAACAAGAGTGGGGACAAGATGATCAGCTCATTTATCCAAGATACTGCTGAGTTCACTGTATTATTATCACAAAGGGAAATTCACAGGCCTCATTTCTCAAACACCATTTAGGACAAAGCAGGAGAGAGTAAACAGCATCATCTCCATGGCAGCATTGTGGATGATTAGTAAATCAGACAGGTAGAGGCCTACAGAAGGCTACAAGTGCCTAATTTTCAATTGAAACACATATACATATATGCAAACCTTACTCTAATGCATTGATTTTCTTTATATTGATTCTTAAAAAGTACACAAGGAATGTGGTGAATTATATGGTACTAGAAGTGGACAAATATTTTTATATTTGCACAATATATTGGAGGAAGAGAAGACAATTTTTCACATTGAGGCAGTAAAACAGGAACAGAACAGACACAGCAAAGGCCAAATAATTTACATTAATAGCATACTCATATATATCCTCTGTAAACAAATTTTAAAGTCACATCATAGTATATTCTTCATGTGATATATACAAGTATTCCCAGAATGATAGGAACTCCTCTTCGGCTTTTTGTGTTAAGACAACACGCTTAATCCTATTAAGGATTCGGTTTCAAAATTCAAGCTCTAGGTTATATGTTACACATGCATATTCAGTCAAATTTAACTAAATTTTGATATTTAACCTATAGCATGGAGAACACTGGTATCTAAAATAATGAGTATCAGACAATTCTTAAGATTAAAAAAACATAAACAATCAAATTATATTCAATATGGCTGAGCTTGTTAAGGTAGGGAATCCTACTCATATATTTTATAAATACTTAATGTTGGATGCAAACAAAAAGTTTTCTGGTTAACTTTGACCTAACAAAATGTTCAACTTATGCCAAAGATCCAAAACACACAGAGGTTCATTAGGATCTTCCTCTATGTAAAGTAGTTGGTCTATGCATAAAAACCAATAATCAAGAAAGACATAATTAGAAAAGCAATGAAGATAAACATATGGCAGCTGAAGAGATGGCATTTTCTTGTCATCACAGAATTAGAAAAATCATTGTTTAAATTAAAAACCTAGTATTTACTGGGCAAACTGGACATTTTTATAATATATATATACATATATATGTATATATATGTGTGTATGTGCATATATGTGTGTGTGTGTATATATATATATTTTATTGATATTTAGAGAGAGAGATAGAAACACTGATGAGAGAGAAATATTGATTGGCTGCCTCCTGCATGTCTCCGACTGGGGACCAAGCCCGAAACTTGGGCATGTGCCCTGATGGGAATCAAACCAGTGACCTCTTAGTGCATGGGTCAATGCTCAACCACTGTAGCCACACCAGTCAGTAGCATCTTAACATTTTAAATGTTTCATTATCTTCCAGGCACTGTGTTCTAACTCCTCCTTCTTTTACTACTAGTTCAAGAAATATTTTATATTTATTTACTTTATAAAAGATTTTATTCATATTTCAACAACTAAAATGCCTTAAAAAGGGCCAAAACATAATCAAAAGAAATGAAGGACAAAAACGAGTAACTTTCAACCCAATGTGTGTCATGCAAGTAAGGAATAGCTGAACAAGTTCAAAGACTGCCATTACAATTGTTTTGTAACCTCATTTGTTGAGTGAACCTAAGGAGTCATGAAGGATGTACTGAATGTCTGTGCTGTGTCCCAGGCCAAAGTGAAGGCAAATTTTCAAATCAAGATTTTATTGTGAGAGTACGTAGGGTATCATAATGTAAAAACCCGGTTGTCTTGAACAGGCTCTTGCCTCATTTGTCCATTTAATGATCTATTTCTGTTACTATTTTTAAAAGCTGTTTCTTCTATAAGATTCAATAAGCAACAAAATAAGAAAGCTTTTGCAATATTTTGTGACAATCTCTAGGGTATGAAGTAAAGATAAAAAATAAAAAATGAAAGATTAAGAAGTAAAGGTTAGTTCCAGCACCAAAGAGAATCAATTAAAGTTACTGCTTCAAACATTCCATTTTAACATGAGAGGCACAAACTACAAATCCAAATTTGGTTTTAATTAATTTAAGTTAATTTTAAATTTCTTTAATGTGCAACAAATGCTTACAACTCTTTTAGGCCTCTGCTTCATTTAATTATTTATAAATCATGTGGTTACTCCAAACTCATGAAAATAAATATTATTACCAGATGCTGAATTCTTCCTTTTCTCCTATTTTAATGCAGGAACAGCCTGTTCTAGCCACTTTGAAGCAGAGGATTACCTGGGGCCAACCCAGCTGGAGTGGGTACTGCTGACAGCTGCCACTGTGTACACAGGGTGTTCTCTGTGTGTACACAGCACGTATGCCAAGGTGTAAGGGAGACAGCCAGTGAACAAGAGACAGGAGCGAGGTTACATCCTGGAAAAGGCATCTCTGACAGAGTGACACAAACATCACTTACTCTAAATGAATATTTAAGGCCGAAAGACTGTTTTAGACCAAATCTCTAACCATTAATAGCAATTTGATTGCTAATTTGATGGTAATTTCTACTTTAGACAGCATTCTTAATAGAGGCCAACTGCTAAGAAACTGAAAATCATGTCATGAAAAACTTCATTGTAAGTTCCAAGTTCTCAGGCTCTGAGATGGCTGTGACTGTGGTCTACTCACGCAGGCCTTATATATGGTCCGATTGCTTTGAAAGAAATCAATGACTATTACTAATTTAGACTATTACTAATTGTGCCCAGTGTAGCTTGTGGTGTTCAAGTTCAAGTGTGATTTTCTCCCATATGTTCAGGATCTGTAAAAATTAAAAAGAAAAAAAAAAAAAAAAAAAAAGCCAAAATGGAGATTTTGAGTTCATGTAAAAATGGCATTTATGAATCTCTGGAGAAAAATACAGAAAATACAGGACCATCTGTCTCATCTAGGAAAATGGTTTTAAGAAGGCAAGCAGTGCCTCTCCAATATCTAACAATCTGATTTTCTAAATGCAAGGTGGTGAGCACTAATCTCTCTGCAATGAATCCAGGAGAAGACTTACCAGGGCCCTAACTCATTCCCCTCTTCCACACTACCCCGATTCTAAAGCCACTGCTGGTCATCCTAGCCCAGTGCCCTACAAGATACTTATGGGTCCCATGGACAGGGTCATTTTCTGAAGACAGGTGAGGGCTGAGCTCCAACAGGTGCCTATGTTCTTAACGACCAGAGCTTCAACTACATTTTAGCAAAGGCTTCTCTTTTATTGGGTTTGAAGGATGAGATGTAATGGTATTTCTCTTAAAATCACTAAATTTTCAGAGGTTACCTTATTGCTATAGATTAGAAACTTAAGCAATTACATGATATTAGTCTACATACAAAAAGTATAAGGAAGCGTGTGTTCTATTTGCTGTTGACTACATTTTCTATTAGAAGCTACTGAACCAAATCAAAAGAAAAATACAAACTGCACCCTGTTTACAGGGATCTAAATTAAACATACTGTTTTTGTTACTCAGGAAGCTTTCTTTTTTTCAAAACAGAAAGAATGTTTGCTAATTAGTTATTTAGGATTCCTTATTAGAACCCTAACATTGTCAGTAGAATGTTTTTGAAAGAGACCTGTACAACATAAAATTTGGTATTGTCAATAATTTGATGACTCTTTTTAAGAATTCAGCTGCATGTATTTCTTCTAGGGTAAGGACATAAAACTTTAATGTAGTCAGAATCACAGAGATACACCTTGCCTTCGGTGATGGAAAACCTGTATATATAAATTCATGTTTTACGTGGGCAGTATTGATATTCAAAAGCATCACTAATTTTCCTAATATAACTTTCTTAAATTTATTAAGAGGTATAACAAGGTTTATAAAAATGATTATCTGCAAGATGTGTACAAATATTAATTCATATTTGGTATATTATGCTTTTACTTAATGTCCTGTGGCCTAGAAATGAGTCAAAGTTGTTTCCATTTTTACATTATAGTTCTTATCAGTACTTAAATTTTGCGTGGTAACAGCATTCTTATTGCAATAGGACTAGAAAGTATAACAGTGGTTTTGCTAATAGTGTTTTTGGTATTTTGAACATAAAGCAGGGATTTTAATGGAAAGACCAGAGCGTGATAACTTGAGACAGTGACACTAAATGACACATGTATCATGCTAATGCTGGTTCTAGAAGCAACAACCTATTAAAAAACCCACTGAATCTTATTTCCTCTTAAGTAAGGTCGTACACTTTCAGTGAAGCTTGCTTTTCTCTTGTTCTTTCTTTCAAATCCAAATGATACTTTAATTTATGGAGCTCCAATCAAATTCTTAATAGCCATTTCCTAGAGTTAATACTCGCTTTCTCTTCCTGAGCCCTCAGGGAAAAACCAGGTACGCTTTGCGGGCCAGACACTCCCGAAGACCCCGAAAGGACACCAGGGCTCCCCCGCACGCTCCCCTTCAATCTAACACGGAGGACGGGGCGGGGCGAATACAGCAGTTGGGGCGTCGAAAGTTCTGCAGCATGGACTGGAAAACGCTGTGCTGCCTTCCTTTGAGCTTTTTGTTTGAAGACGTGTCCGAGGAGATGGATCTCCGCGTCTGGCTGCTCTGCGCTTTGACTGACTTCTCGTGTTCCCGGATCTGTCTCTGTAAATGGTTCTGGATGGCGACGCCCAGGGACTCCGGGTCCAGGGACGCGCCGTACACCTCCCAGGTCATGCCCTGCTCGTCCCACACCACGTCCCGGACGCGCTTGGACTGTTTCAGCTGCAGCTTGGAGTCGGCGCCAAGCTGCTTTTTCTTCTCTCCGGGGGTGAGTCCCACCTGGGCGGCGGCCGCCGTCACGTTGAGCTTCTGCTCCTTGAGGAACTCGCTGACCCGGCTGCCCCGGCGCGGGCTGGCCTTGACCGAGCGACCAGGGGTCCTCTTGCCCGAACCAGGACTGGAGTCGCCCATGGATTCGGACGGCAGGCTCAGGCTGGTGGCTGTCTTGGTCTGCCTGTTTTCTTCCACTGTGCCCCCCTGGTTATTTCTAACTGGGGAGGGTACGGGACTGGCAGCTGACCCCGTGCCTCCACTCTCTTGAGATTTGGGATTGAGCAGTAGGGTTTTGCCTTCTGCTCTCGCCCTCCCATTGAGGAAATCCGTGTCCCTAGATTCTTGTTCTTTTCCTAACTGAAGAGAGGCAGGCTCCTTCTCTCTTGCATCTCCCTTATTAGCAGGATCCACGCTCCCAAACTGGTCAGTTTTGCTGGCAGAGCCATAGGAGCTGGAGAGTTTGCAACCTGCATCTGTTTTCTGGCCACCTGTAGTTTTCACTGCAAGCTCAGGAGGCTTGGTGTCAGAGGTCCCCAGTCCATGACTTGTTTCCTCTTGACTTCCTGCACGGATAGAAATCTGGTCTCCGAGGCTAGCTTTCAGGGAGCTAGAATTAGTACCTGGAAGCTGTGCAGGGGTGGGCTCTGCCCTTGCAGGGGTCATTCCTGCTGCCCTGCCATCTTCTGTACACATATCCTGAGCATTGCTGGATGCCACTTTGGTTGATGAGGTATTGAGGGCCTCACCTGGTAGGCTCACCAATTTACTACCCCCTTGGAAAGCTGTGGGAACAGCTGCAGCTTGCTGGATGTGCACCTCGGGCATGATGCCAGGGCACTGCCCGGACTCCTGCGGGGCTGAGGAGTTGACTGACAGCTCCAACGTGTGGCTCCCGCTGCTGTGGCAAATGACATGCAGCTGCTCTTGTTCCAAAGGCTCAGGAGCAGGGGTTTCCTTTAAGAACGCTGCGAGGATGCTGGGGCTGGTGGAGACCGACCTGCTCTCCACACTCGCCACTGCCTGCACCTCAGCATCTTGCTGAGCCCTGTTGGGAACGTCCTTGACCTCATTTTCAGTCTGGTTGGTCATCGTACTTGCTTCTCTGAACCTTGATGCCTGATGCGGTGCTGGCAGCAGCATCTTCTCTGCATCTGGAGGACACGCCGAGCCTTTGCTAGTGAGGTGGGATGGTTGAGGTGTCACAGAACTCTCGGCCTGGGTGTCTGTGGTGGTGGCAGAGGGCGGTTTGTTTCCTGAACATCCATCTTCTCTTGCTAGAAATTCACAGGACCGGGTCGTGGAGTCGTAAATGGCTCCCTGCCTTTCCCCCGTAGGCCCGCCTACAGGAGACGAGGCTTGACTGAACACCCCCGCTGCTGTGTTTGCAGTTTGCACCACTCCCTGGATTGTTTCTTGAGAAGGAAAAACACAGGGCACTTGATCTTTGCTGCTGCTACAAGTGCCTCCCACAGGACAACTTGACTTCCCAGATAGCTCTCCCGCCGAGGATCTCTGTGATTTCCCCAGGGTATCTTCAGATCCTGAGGAGGCCCTGGCATTGGGCTGGTCACCTGGGATGGCCTGGTGGGTGTGCTGACTGGCTGGCATGGTAAATGCTGTGTGTATAAGATCCTTAACTGCTGCAGAACACGGGGCTGGTGCTGCGGGCTTGCTGTTTCCTGGGAGCTGGGTATTGTCAGGGGAGTTGAGTGTGGGAGATACTTTCTCCACCTCATTGAAGATGCCAGGAGAAGACATGTCTGGCTGGGTGGTTTCATGCTCACAGGCCTGCATCAGGGCCTCAGAAGCTGCCCTGGGGCTGAGGTCTGGTTCTGTAGGTTTGCTGGAAAGGCCATCGTTGTTCTTACACAGGAGGGCTGGTCGAGGCTGAGGTGAGGCAGCCTGTACCTCTCCTAGATCCTCTTCTTTTCCAGAAGCTGTGATCAGGGAAGTTTTAGCTGATCTTAGAGGGTCAGGTACAGTCCCCATGGAATTTCTCTTCAGGAAAACCTCAGAGCTCTCCCCTGAGCACTGCTCCCACTGGGCAGCTGTCGCAGCTCAGAGCGAACACGCAGTCAGGGATGATTCCTCTGAAGGCCTGATCTGCAAATCAAGGAAACAGTACTGTTAATAAGATGCAGTGTTTAAGGACTGAAAATACACCTGCCATTTGTGTAAGATCTCATAAGCGCCTTAAATCTTTCCTCCCCAAATCTGTACTTATAAAAATACATAGATCTGGGAAAGTAAGACTTTGGAAAACGTGTTTTAACTATACAGATATTATTTTGATATATTAGTTTCCTTTTGAATTCCACTGCTATCTAGCAAATAGCTTTTTAATGTATTTACCTAAGCATTTGATAACTACCTTAAAAATAATTTGTGTAATCTGATTTATCAGGTATCAGAAAATCCTGTAGAGCTAGTGTGATCAAATCAATAAGTATTGAAATAGGCCTAAACAGACAATCTAGAAATAGTTCCATATATAAATGAGGAATTGATATATAACAAGAGAGACATTTCAATTTAGTGGCAAAAGGATGGATTACTTAATATAAGAGACTGGCAAACTGTTTACTCATCTGGAAGAAAAGAAAACAAGGTCTTACACTAATTCTTAAAATAAATCCTAGATGAATTTAGATAGATTAAAGTTTAATATATATATGATAAATAAATAAATAAATAAATGTCCTGTAAGAGAATCTAGGGACCATAAATATAGGGACAGGGAGGTTAAGCTTTTTTTGGAAAGACAGAAAATAAAGAAACTATGAGAAAAATATAAACATTGGTGTCTAAATATAATTCAAAATTTTGCATGGCAAAAGATACGATAAACAAATACAACAGATCTGAGAAAAAAAGTTTGCAACTCTAGTAGACAGGCAAAAACATGTATAATAGAATAGAGCTCTTACACTTTTATGAGACAAAATAGCTTATTACAAAAATGGATAACAAAATATAAAAGGCAGTCTGAAAGATAGGAAATCCAACAACCAGAAAGCTCATGGAAAGATGATCACATTAATTTGCAGTCAAAGAAATGCAAAAAAATTAACAATTAGATTTTACTTTATATAAATTGCACTTGGAAAAACGTAAAAAGAATAGTTGTAACACTATAGTCTGGGGAGATGTAGCTAAAGAGAGCATTTAATTAATTGTGGGTATAAATGCATATTGTTACAGCTTTCTTAGGGAAGCAGGTTAGTTTTTATAACTAAAAATACACATATCCTTGACCAAGTGATCCCAATGGAAACAAATTACCAGCACATATTTATTTAGGTACAAGTGTATTTACTGTAGTACTATTTATAGAGGCAAAAACTAGAAACAATCTGATCTCCGTGAATGGGGGAATAGTAAAAAAATCATGACATATCTCTACTGTAGAGTATTATGCAATCATTAAAAGAAACCATTGTCCTGGCTGGTGTGGATCACTTGGCTGGAGCACTGTTCCATACTCAGAAAGGTCTTGGATCCAATTCCCAGTCAGGGCACGTACCCAGGTTGTGGGTTTGATCCCTGGTCGGGATGAGTATGAAAGGCAACTGATAAATGTTTCTCTCTCACATCAATGTTTTTCTCTCTCTCCCTCTCCCTTCCTCTCTCCCTAAAATCAATAAAAACATCTTCTGATGGGGATTAAAAAAGTAAGTAAAGCTAAACAATAACAACAACAACAAGAAACCATTAATTAGGCTGTAACTTTTCACTTGAGAGAGATTTCCCCAAGGTATGGTTGAATAAGAAAACCAAGGTACAGAAAAGAATATATAGATTTTTATTTTTGTAAAGCAATGACCTAAAACACTACTCGTATATGTATGTGCTGTGTGTATGTGTGTGCGCGCACAGATATGTTTATATATAATTATATATATTCTAAAAATATTTAGAAGACTTATTACATGTTAAATGGAGGGAGTGTGATGAGTTGGAGACAGGGAAGGATAGATGGAGGTACCCAAAGGTGGGAAAATACTAGATTTTAAAAAGTATATCTAAAACTTTGTGTGCCTTCATGTATAAACTTTTCTTTTTCCCCCCTATGGTTCAGAAATGAGTGGATGACTATGTTTTGATATTACCTCTGTGACCTCATGCTAATCACTTAATCTTTCCGGATCCCTAATCAACTCATTGCCAAAATGAATTATATGATTTCAAATGACCCAACATTCAAGGATCCCATATATTTATAATAAATTAAATAGCACCATTTTAACTCAGGCTCTAAAGGGTCAAAATGAATCAAAGGTAAATTTGGTTGGGCCCAGATTTTGAAAATACATAATTTTATTTTTTGGTTCAGTGTTATTTGGCTGATCTACAATCACAGGATATCTAACAAGGAATCTGACTTATCTTCTCCCCAAAGTCACCTCTTCCTCCTAACTTCATTATTAATGGTAATGGGTTGAGTATTTTCCCATCTTTGGTTCAGACCACTTCCCCAGGTTTCTATTCCATCTCCTCCTGCTGCAGTTCCTTGTCACACTCACTTGCTGTGCCCCAAGCACATCTTCCCTCTCCTTCTTCCGTGTCTGTCTTTATTATACCCTTCCTCCCACTCCTTGCCCTCCCCATCCTGAGAAAGCTTACTCATTCTTCATGGTCCCACTTAAACCCCACTTACTTTCTGAAGGCTTCCAAAGTTGTCAAGTCATAAAGTCTCTCTCTGTTTTAAAAATCCTACAGCAATGGTAATCTCTGTCCTTTGTATTATGCTTTTTATGTGGTTTTTGTACAGTTGTTACTTCTATAAAAGCCTCATTTATCCATAACTATTTCAAGACCCAGGAGGGAAGGGGATAAGCTTTTTGATTCTTTTCCGTGCATAGGACACAGTGCAGGATCTTGTGCATAAAAAGGTATTAACTGGTCACACATCCCTACAAAGTGGACACTGTTAATGCCTTACCCAACTTTAAAATATAAAGAACTTAAACCTATGGCATGAAATATAAACGAAAACACAATAAAAAGAGTGCTGTGTTTAGAAGTAAGAAAATAGTTCTATCTTACTTATTAAACTTTAAGTATCTACTATGTAGGTTTATGCAATTAAAATAAGTACATTGGACACTTGCTACAAAAAGCTGGGAGATCTCATAAAGCCAGGAATACAGAATGCCTCCTGTCATACACCGAGAGCCAAGAAGACTATACATTGTGAATAGCTCAAAGTGCAGCAACTGAAAATTGAAAGACTTAGAAAAAGCTGAAGGACTCCATAAAGCTCCCATTCCCTGCGCTTACTTTCATTTCCCACAGATAGCTAATTGTATCCATTTAACTTTGGAAGGGTGTTTTCCTTTGTTTGCTTTGTTAATAGAGGTTAATTTATGGATCAATTAAAAAATCAAGAAGAGCCCACCCAGTGTGGCTCAGTGGTTGAGTGACGACCCATGCACCAAGAGGTTCAATTCCCTATTGGGGCACATGTCCAGGTTGTGGGCCCAATCCCCAGTGTGGGGCATGCAGGTGGCGGCTAATAGATGTTCTCTCTCATCGATGTTCTCTCTCATCAGTGTTTCTATCTCTCTCTCCCTCTCCCTTCCTCTCTCTCTCAAATCAATAAAGAAAAATATTTTTAAAAAAGAAGAAAAAAAGTCCAGACAGCTTGGTTTATACCCATAACTAAGAATCTCTTGATTTATGAGTGGAAAGGATGTCAACACCACTCGATAACATATACACTAATGTCATTGTAACATCATCTGCATGAGCCCAGGAAAAACTGCCTAAGTTCTGAGACTATCTTCCCCAGACAGCCCTCCACCTCCTCACCCCCACCCTGAGCACTTTCCCCTCCCCTCACCAACCAAATAGCAGAAATATGTAGTCTCCAATAGGTTAGACACATAAGACATTTAAAAAGTGTAATTACTCAGTGGTTTAGAGTGAGAATATATCTTTTTTTTTTAAATCCTCACTTAAAGATATTTTTCTATTTGTCTTCAGATACAGTGGGAGAATGAGAGAGAGAGAGAGAGAGGGAGAAACATTGATGTGAGAGGGACACATCGACTGGTTGTCTCCTGAAGGATCCCGACCAGAGCTGGAGAGGAACTGAGGTATGTGCCCTTGACCGGAATGGAACCCGCAACTCATTGGTCTGTGGGCTGATGCTCTAACCGCTGAGCCAAATTGGCCAGGGTGAGAATATGTCTTTAAAGTCAACCAGAGTAAAAAAGAAATCAACCAGAGTTTATTATAAGATTTAAACTCTAAAAATTTAGAGGTTGCAAACAGGTAGCCCGTATATCAACTGAATCCTTCCTACAGGTGTGTGTGTGTGTGTGTGTCCTGCATAGTTTTCCCTTCCCTTCCATCCCTTCCTTTTCTTTTCTTTCTTTATCTTTTTGAATTGAAGAAAACTTCCATAAAAATCCAGATTTCTCTCTTGCTTCTCTTTAAAAACCTGAAAGGTATGCATTTCCAGAAAGCAACACTAGATGAAGCTGATAAGGGCTGTCCCCCTTGATGGCATGGCCACGCCTGCCGGCCATTCCCCACCTGCCGGGTGTTTCACTCCTCACATTACTTACCGGGACTCATGTGAACAGCTGAGTTTGAGAGCTTTGCTCTAAGGAACTCACCGACAGAGTAGAATTCCCAACCTAATTTTTAGCCCCCTGAAAGCAGTTTGGCATTGCATTTAAAATGGAAGCAAGGGGTCAGAATCTCTGGGTTAGAGTATCGGTTCCACTCCCTAACTCTAGGTCTATGTATCTGCGCAAACACGCTCTCGGAGCCCCATTTAATCTATAAATTGAGGATAATAGTAATAGAACTGCCTCACTGGGATTTTGTAAGGAAAATATTTAGCATTTAGAACAAACAGCATCTTGGCACATAGTAAGCACCTTATAAATGTTAGCCTCTTTAAAAACCTCAATATATAAGCATCTATCTGTGTGAAAAAATTATTCTGACATTTGTTAAAATGGTAAGGAAAACTTTAGTTAGGACTATTGTGATAGGTGCCAAGACGATCTCAGGTGGTGAATATGGTTAGTATTTCATTTTATGGTAGACAATATTTTTTAATTAACCCTCCATTTTGGCATTTAAGTTAC